TCAATCAATATTTTAAAAAATTATAAACCCTTAACTTTTAATCCCAGCACTCCGGAGGCAGAGGCAGGCATATCTCTGTGAGTTCGAGGCCAGCCTGATCTCCATAGCAAATCCAGGCCAGCTAGGGCTACAGGGAGACCCTTTCTCAAAAAGACCAAACAGAATTATAGGATTTGATTAGAGTTCCAACCAAGGAGTTCTGGTGAATAAGCTTTGGGTCTTACAGATTTCCAACAAGCCAAGGTATAAACATCTGTGGATGGGGAAGCGGGCTGCCTTGGTCATTAGAAGGAAGTGAATTCTTCCATAAGGAAGGATTTGGGTCATTTAAAGTTCAGAAGGTGGTGACAGGAAGAGAGCGAGCAGACTTGGGGGAACAAGTGGGACACAGCAGTGAGGCATGCTTATAATCCCAGCACCCAGAAGCCTGAGGTAGGAGGATTGAAGAAAGTTCCAGGCCACCTTGGGCTACACAGTGAGACCCTGTGCCAAAACAACAAAAACAAATGAACAAAATACACAAACTAAATAAACCATGGAAGGCTGGGGCTCTGGCTGGGTTGGTAGAGTGCACCACATAAAATGGGTATGGTGACACATGCCTGTCATCCCAGCACTCGGAAGTGGAGGCAGGAGGATCGGGGGTGAAGATCATCCTTGAGTACACAGTGAATTTGAGGCTAGTCCGTGTATATGTGATCCTGTCTCATATATATATATATATACACACACACATGTATATTATATGTATATAATATATATGTATGTATATATGCATATATATACATCAATGTCTACCTTTCTTCATAAGTCGCCTGTGTCTAGTATTTTGTTATAATATGGGAAGCTGACTAAAATAGTACGGGAGGACATTTCTCTAATATCTTCTATACCTTCCTTCAAACCTCCTCTTGCTTCCCTCCTTTCTTTTTTCCCATTACTACTTCTTCTTCTTCTTCTTCTTCTTCTTCTTATTATTATTATTATTGTAAGAAACATTAAATATTGGTCTTTTCTTTCAAGCATTGTAAAACCTGGAACTTGGTTTATGACAAGGAATTCTAATCTTTTTTTTTAATTTTATGTATGAGTGTATTGCCTGCATGTATGTGAGTGCACCCGTGTCTTGCAATGTCATGGAAGTCAGAAGAGGGCTTCGGATTTCCCTAGAACTGGAGTTAAGGATGGTTCATAGCCACCATGTGGGTGCTGAGAATTGAACCGGCCCTCTGCAAGAGCAGTCAGTGCTCTTAACTGCTGAGCCATCTCTCCAGCCCCAGAATTCTAATCTTTTAATCCCACCACACCTTGTAAGACTTTTGTTTAAGGAAAGACCCTGATGCATTCCTGAGCCTGATGGCCTGGGGTGGTAGAGGACTTGTCCCTTCACAGGAACCATTCTGAGTCTTTTAAACTAGCCAACCAGGAAAGAGTGTGAGGTTGGACTCCAGCCAATGGGAAAAGGATGCAGTTCTCTTGCATTAAGCATAAAGGCCCACCAGGCTTCTGGGCCCTGTGTGTACTTGCTGAATCTGACCGACCATACAAGACACACTTTTGCAAAAGCAAAACTGCCATGTGGAATTACTTTCACTTTGTCCAGGTGTTCTTTGTGTGGTATTGATGGGGTCCGAGGACCTTGGATTTCATTTCTAATTTCATTTATTAACAGTACTGTAGGTTGAACTTAGGGCCTCTTGCATGCTTTACCACTAAACTATATTCCCAGGCTTTATAAAACTATTTACTTCTTGGGCCAGAGAGATAGCTCAGCGGTTAAGAGTACTTACTGGCTGCTCTTAAGAGGACCTGGGTTCAGTCTCCAGCACCCACAACTGTCTGTAACTCCAGGTCCAGGGGATCCAGTGCCCTCTTCTGACCTCCACAGGCATTGCATGACACAGGTAGGTGCACTTACATACATGCAGGCAATACACTTATGTACATAAAATTAAAAATAAAATATTTATTTGAGGGAGAGGGAGAGAGAGATATAGGGAATGCATGTGCATGGCACATGTGTGGTCTCAGGACAACTTTGTGGAGTCACTTCTCTCCTTCCACCTTTACATGATCCCAGGGCTCAAACTCAAGTCACTAGGCTTGACAATGGCATACTATGTTTCTGGTTTGGCCTTGGATTCAGTCTGTACCCCAGACTGGCCATGAACCTGT